GGTATAACATGTTTTATCGAGTAGAGTGTAGTATAACATGTTTTATCAAGTAGAGTGTAGTATAACATGTTTTATCAAGTAGTGTATGTATTATAACATGTTTTATCAAGTAGAGTGTGGTATAACATGTTTTATCAAGTAGAGTGTAGTATAACATGTTTTATCAAGTAGAGTGTATGTAGTATAACATGTTTTATCAAGTAGAGTGTAGTGTAGTATAACATGTTTTATCAAGTAGAGTGTATGTAGTATAACATGTTTTATCAAGTATAGTGTAGTATAACATGTTTTATCAAGTAGAGTGTAGTATAACATGTTTTATCAAGTAGAGTGTAGTATAACATGTTTTATCAAGTAGAGTGTATGTAGTATAACATGTTTTATCAAGTATAGTGTAGTATAACATGTTTTATCAAGTATAATCAGTAAAACCATTAATCTCATAATCTGGTTCAACTTTGTATTTTTACAGCCAGTATTATCAAATATCGTTAACAATAAAACGAAAATGAAAATAGGTCGAGAGAAATGTAAAGAATTTGGAAGGTGGTACATAGAATTTCGACGACAAAACCCAGGTAAGCTTCAATAGAATAACATTAAGTACTTTCTTTTACAATTACATCTTTCCAGACAAGGCAGATGGAGATTACTAGCTAACTTGTTTTTAGAAATGACCGAAAGAAGGTCAGATTTAGGGTGCCCAAAACAACCAAAGTTGAAGCATTTGAAGTGAATTACAAAAATTGTCATTGTTAGAAACAAAAATATTTAACACAATTTCAGCAACTAATAAATGTTATAGGATGAGAATAATAAATGTTTAATATCAAATATTATTATTAAATGAAAATCATTCTTTTTCTCTGGCCAGATATTTCTGAACTACATACAAAAAATACTCGCCCTTATGAAGGCCGTATGACATTTCACTCTGCAAAAGAACAGCCAGTCATGAGAGAATGGTACCAGGCCTGCAAGAGTCCCTCAGAGAAAACACTACAGATCTATACTGACATCTTAAATGAAACAATACTTCGCCAACAAGAGAGGTAAAACTCAAATTGTTCATTAATGGTATTAGTGACATTCAACATGATATACAAGGTCAGTTACTTCCAACATGAAATATACGGTACTAGTGATATTCAACATGATATACCAGGTCAATTACTTCCAACATGAAGAACAAGGCATTAGTGACATTCAACATGATATACAAGGTCAGTTACTTCCAACATGAAATATAAGGTACTAGTGATATTCAACATGATATACCAGGTCAATTACTTCCAACATGAAGAGCAAGGCATTAGTGACATTCAACATGATATACAAGGTCAGTTACTTCCAACATGAAATATATGGTACTAGTGATATTCAACATGAAATATAAGGTATTAGTAACATTCACGTGAAAGTTAACATTTTTCTTACACAGAAAATACATTTCTGATAGGTACTTACCTCCTTTCACACAAAGCTATCTCAATGTTTTCCTGTCCTCTAAGCATAGCTAAAAACAAAATTCACGATCAGCGAACCAGTCTGTATTCCACATCAGTTTCGTGCCATCTCTGAACATGTACATACCATGTGACTACTCTCCACCAACAGTATTGCACCACCCACCTATACTGGTGCAGCTAGCTTCCTCTGCTATTCCTGCTCAATCCTCACTTTCGAGAATTGGCAGGCTTCAAAAGGAGAACATCAGCAGTGGGAAGGAAGGGTAGGAAGTGTGTAAGGGGAGGTAAGTACTTATCACAAATACATTTTCAGTGTAATAAAAATGTTACCTCCTCTCACACAAAGCTAGAATCCCACATTGCAAAGGTGGAGGGGCCAGTGTAGGTGCACAAATATCAAACTAAGTGGAAAGTAAACACCCAGAATGAACAGTGTGCTCAGAGATTAAAATGAAGCACACCTGTGGGGTACCACACTACTTGTAGAATAGATGTGATCTTTGCCCAGGAAGGAGGAAATGGGCAGAAAAGGAAGTTACTTGCATAAATAGAATATGGTTTGATATGTGCAAGTTATGGTAACATAGGAATGGAATGAGCTACGTATACACTCAACCGGACAGACGAGGTTCCATAACTCATCCTCAGCATTGAGGATGAAAAAAAATTGTAATAACAACATTGTGACTGGGGCATGTGGATTGTATACCCAACAACCCCAAACATAAGTAAATAGAGTGCCATACATCAAGCAACCAGAATTATGAAGAGAAAGTGAGCAATCAGTCATAACCGGACAAACTCCCAAAACCACCAAAGAAGCAAGAAACACAACAAACTGAACCCAGCATTATGGGGTCATGACATTGCCTCGACTCAACCGTATGAACAATGCTGTAATTGGTATTACGGGCAAAATCATAACTCACTCAACTGTAAATGTAGGGCAGAGATATCCTCTATCCAGAACTACGAGGAGGACATACATGGAACAATCACCCAACTGTAGGAACAGAGTGTGGACATCCTGTTGCTGGTAGACTGTAGAAACAGAGTGTGGACATCCTGTTGTTGGTAGACTGTAGAAACAGAGTGTGGACATCCTGTTGTTGGTAGACTGTAGAAACAGAGTGTGGACATCCTGTTGTTGGTAGACTGTAGAAACAGAGTGTGGACATCCTGTTGTTGGTAGACTGTAGGAACAGTGTGGACATCCTGTTGCTGGTAGACTGTAGTAATAGTGTGTGGACATCCTGTTGCTGATAGACTGCAGTAATAGTGTGTGGACATCCTGTTGCTGGTAGACTGTAGAAACAGAGTGTGGACTTCCTGTTGCTGGTAGACTGTAGGAACAGAGTGTGGACATCCTGTTGCTGATAGACTGTAGGAACAGTGTGTGGACATCCTGTTGCTGGTAGACTGTAGGAACAGAGTGTGGACATCCTGTTGCTGGTAGACTGTAGAACAGTCAACAGGATGTCCACACTTGGTAGACTGTAGTAATAGAGTGTGGACATCCTGTTGTTGGTAGACTGTAGGAACAGAGTGTGGACATCCTGTTGTTGGTAGACTGTAGGAACTACAGTCTACCAACAACAGGATGTCCACACTCTGTTCCTACAGTCTACCAACAACAGGATGTCCACACTCTGAAACAA